TGCTAGAATACCAAACAAACTAACCACCTTCCTGAACTTAAATTGGCAACAACAAACTTGTTAGCTTCAAGAGTTTAACATATAGGAAATCGCACGTTTGGGATGCAATGCACCTAAACGGTTAAAGGCTTCTATCATGTGTTTGAACGGTTGCATGTTTCATCCCGGCCTTAACTAACTTTGTGCCCCTTTTTTCTTTTGTTTCTGCCTCCCTTTAATCACTCTTGATTTCTCTCTTTGTTCCTGCCGCTCTTTTTTTTTTTTTGCACTCTTTTTTGTTCTTTTGTTTTGCCATTCTTTTTGTTTTCACTCAATTCTCTTTTCTCTCTTTCTTTTTTATTTTATGGCTATGATCATATCCTATGGGGATTGCTTATGTATCATGATGCCGCATGAATCAGATAATTACGTAGTTCAGGCAGATCGGGAATAAAGTAAATAAACTAACTCTTTTTTTTCTCTAAGAAATCTAAATGTAAAAGATCCTAACAAGGAAAATATTTTTTGGATTTTGAATGCTTTCTTTTTTTAATTTTTTTTTGAAATTTTCGAAATAAAGACCGCTAAACAAGAAAGAAAATATTTTTGGATTTCCATTTGTTTTTTTTTTATTGAGAATATTTTAAAGAAAGACTTCTAAAGAAGAAAGAAAATATTTTTAGCTTTTTGTACTTTTTTTTTTATAATCCACTAGGCAGTATGCCTAGGGCTAGTTTTTATAATATTTAAAAAATAAACAAAGTAGCACGTTGTCTTACTAGCTGTAAGACAGTTGACTAAGCTAAACATATAACACCTATGATCAAATTTAGGCATAAGATACCCAAAGTTGACATTACTTAATGAACTAGTATAAAAAAGCAAAACTAAACAGTGTATAGAAACTAGCCTATTACAATCATAGCCATTTACTGCCTTGTCGAGCTCCTTCTTGTAACTCCTGTACAGTCTTTGGTGATTCTCAACTGTGTTGGATTCCTTCATGACTTCATGTATTGACTCTGCATGCTCAGCTGATCTGCCTCCATCTTCAAACTTCATACAGTGGCTATTTGTTACAAACACTGCCCAATTCCTATTTGCTGTGATGTTCCTGTATTTTTGCTCCTCAGATTCGATTGTATTCCATGACTGATCCATTGGACTATCTTCCTGCTTGTGTTTCGTGCATGTCGTAGTACCTGTGCAATTTTTAATGCATATTTTTATATAGCATTTGGCTTTGCACAGTTCGTGTGATAACAGCTGCCTCAACACATATGTTATTGGCCACATATGACTTTGTCCATGGCTCGATGAATCCATTCTCATGCTTTTGCCCTTCCTAACTTGCCTTCCAGTGGAATGAGTACAACGTACTGATACCACCACATGGATGTTGGGCCAAGAAGAGATCATGAGAGTACTAATGGTTCCTGCTGTATTTACTGTCCAATTCCAAACTTCAGTGATGATGTTACCATTTTTTGTCCATAATTCATATATGATCCCCCACTGATTCTGTGATATTTTTGCCTTCTTGTGTTCCTTGGATATGATACTATCAAACTGTGGTATCCTTCTCCTAATGTGATGATGCATACCTTCCTTGATTCCTTTTAAAACTTGCTACCTCGGTTGTTCATGTCTATACATTGTAAGGATTTTTTCAGTTCTTAGAAAGTCCATTTTCATAATCCTACCCTCTCCAGCTTGCCCTCCAGTGGAATGAGTACCAGGTACTAATACCACCACTAAGAGGTTGGGCCAAAGCAAGGTAAGTATGAATATGTTACCTTCAGAGAAAAAAGCTATTGTTTCCTTAGCTTTCCACCAGCTCACTTCAGATTCCATTCCTTTCAACATGTACCATATTGTTGCCCAGAACCATACTATCATTCTCTTGCATGTCACAAAGGTTGTTTCAAGGGAAGGTTGGAATATGTGACAATGCATGAAGTTAGTATCTTTCCCTGCAAAAAAGAAAATTAGGTTAGTATAAAAAGTTTTCACATTGTACTCCTCCCAGAGGCCTTGTACAACATGAACTGTTGAGAAAACCTACAACCTACAACACCTTGCCCATGACCTATCCCTACCTAATTAGAACCAATTCCTAACAAAAGTTGGTATATCTACACTCTCTATATCATACCCTTCATACCATCCCATATCAGACCACTGAACTGCATCACCTCCTTTCATATCATTTCTTATGACCCCTCCTAGACTCCATTGTAAGTAATCCACCTTGATCCATATTTCTTTATCCCTCTTGATCAATTGTTTTAATCTCCTGCACCACATTTGATTTAAAACTCTCTACACCTGCATACATAGGAGTTATGAACCCATGCACCACATTGATATTGATTCCTGTCATATATTTCCTTATTGCTCCTGTCATGAAAGCTTACCCCCATATTTGAACTCCTGCAACCAGTATCACCTTCTTTAAGGCTGTTGCATCACCTAATTCCCTTTGCCCAATTCGATTAAACATTCTGGGCAAATAAACATCCAACATTGCTGCTTGACTTTGCCAGGCAGCCCTGCTTTTACACAACAAAGTGCCCTTCTTAGAGCCTGCAGCTATGTTTGTTTTTGATTTCCTTTCACTGTGTTGAGTGCAAAGCACTAATACCACCAATTGAATCTCCATCAAAGAACAAGACATAGCTGCTGACACCAAACCTACAAAAAAGAAAACCTTGTTAGATAAAAACATGATCACCATGTACTCCTCCCTATGAATTTGTACATGATGATGATAACTCCTACACACCTATATTGCTCTTCTCCTTGTCACCATGGTCTTTAGTTCTTGGCTACCTTCACCCTCAAGTATGGACATTGCAGTTTATCCCCATTTACTAGCCTTCTACCTTGTGTGTCCAAGTGATGAAAGGAGAAACATTCAATTGACCCTTGATCCAAGGCATAATTGGCTAAGTGATCCGCTAGCTTGTTCCCCTCTCTGAATATATGTGATAATCTGCCATTGAGTACATTCAGCATCTGCCTTATCTCCTTCACCTCTTCTTCAATAATCCAAGGAGGCTTCCATTCCCCTTCAATCACCTTTTTTAGAAGCATTGAATCTGTTTGTACCAAAATATTATCAATACCAGTAGCCATGGTATGTTTCAATGCCTCCAACATAGCCTTAGCTTCTGCCTGTGTATTAGTCACTTCCTGAATCTCTTTACCACATGCATATAGTAAATCACCATGTTCATTCCTCAAGCAAAACCCTATGGAACTTCTTCCTGGATTACCCCTAGATGCCCCATCAGTGTTTATTTTTATCCAACCTTGCATTGGAAATTCCCATATTACCTTGTTAATCTTCAGGCCATCTATATGGCACATAAGAAATCCCAGGCTTTCTCAATTTGATAAGTGCCTGAATAGTTGTGCAGACTTGAAAAACCACCCTATTAGTAGACACAGGTTCACCATGTTTATTACTGTTTCTCCTTTTCCACAGCTCCCATACAATGATACAAGGTAAGGCTAAAAAAATTGGCTTCAATCTAGTTATCACCTTTAAGGTCCAACACTTGACTATAGCTTGATGCAAACTCAAACCTTCAAGAGATATTCCAGCATGATTGAAAAAGTATGACCACACCTTTGTAGCTGTGTAAAATCTGAAGAAAACATGGCTAATTGTTTTGTTCATTTGGCCTGATACAACACCAGCATTTGGAAGGCATAAAATATCCCATTCTTCTTAGAGTAGAATCCAGAGGTAGTTTACCTCTCCACAGCTTCCACATGAAAAAGGAAATTTTAAATGGCAGTCCAGCAATCCATATATTAGAGAATGCAAGAGCAGGATCTTTCCTTCTTCTCAGGTATTGCCAAGCAGTTTTAACTGAGAATTGCCCTCTAGTGTCTAGACTCCAAATAGGTTTGTCCAGTTCATCTGAATATGCAGGGCNTCGCAGGTCGTTCTGCTTTGCAGGTTCGACATGATCCTTCGCAGGTTCATCTGCGGAAACCTTTTTACGACTTCTCCTCCTCTAAATGATAAGGTTCAATGGACTTCTGCGACGTCGCGGGCAGCGAACCGCCCACATCGCTGCGATCCGTACATTTCACCGAATCATTCAATCGGTAGGAGCGACGGGCGGTGTGTACAAAGGTCAGGGACGTAGTCAACGCGAGCTGATGACTCGTGCTTACTAGGAATTCCTCGTTAAAGACCAACAATTGCAATGATCTATCCCCATCACGATGAAATTTCAAAGATTACCCGGGACTTTCGGCCAAGGCTATAAACTCGTTGAATACATCAGTGTAGTGCGCGTGCGGCCCAGAACATCTAAGGCATCATGCACCTGTTATTACCTCAACGTTCCGTAGCCTAAAAGGCCGTAGTCCCTCTAAGAAGATGGCCGCGAAGAGATACCTCCGCATATGATGATAACTCCTGCAGACCTATATTGCTCTTCTCCTTGTCACCATGGTCTTTAGTTCTTGGCTACCTTCACCCTCAAGTATGGACATTGCAGTTTATCCCCATTTACTAGCCTTCTACCTTGTGTGTCCAAGTGATGAAAGGAGAAACATTCAATTGACCCTTGATCCAAGGCATAATTGGCTAAGTGATCCGCTAGCTTGTTCCCCTCTCTGAATATATGTGATAATCTGCCATTGAGTACATTCAGCATCTGCCTTATCTCCTTCACCTCTTCTTCAATAATCCAAGGAGGCTTCCATTCCCCTTCAATCACCTTTTTTAGAAGCATTGAATCTGTTTGTACCAAAATATTATCAATACCAGTAGCCATGGTATGTTTCAATGCCTGCAACATAGCCTTAGCTTCTGCCTGTGTATTAGTCACCTCCTCAATCTCTTTACCACATGCATATAGTAAATCACCATGTTCATTCCTCAAGCAAAACCCTATGGAACTTCTTCCTGGATTACCCCTAGATGCCCCATCAGTGTTTATTTTTATCCAACCTTGCATTGGAAATTCCCATATTACCTTTGTTAATCTTCAGGCCATCTATATGGCACATAAAGAAATCCCAGGCTTTCTCAATTTGATAAGTGCCTGAATAGTTGTGCAGACTTGAAAAACCACCCTATTAGTAGACACAGGTTCACCATGTTTATTACTGTTTCTCCTTTTCCACAGCTCCCATACAATGATACAAGGTAAGGCTAAAAAAATTGGCTTCAATCTAGTTATCACCTTTAAGGTCCAACACTTGACTATAGCTTGATGCAAACTCAAACCTTCAAGAGATATTCCAGCATGATTGAAAAAGTATGACCACACCTTTGTAGCTGTGTAAAATCTGAAGAAAACATGGCTAATTGTTTCTTCATTTTGCCTGATACAACACCAGCGTTTGGAAGGCACAAAATATCCCATTCTTCTTAGAGTAGAATCCAGAGGTAGTTTACCTCTCCACAGCTTCCACATGAAAAAGGAAATTTTAAATGGCAGTCCAGCAATCCACATATTAGAGAATGCAAGAGCAGGATCTTTCCTTCTTTTCAGGTATTGCCAAGCAGTTTTAACTGAGAATTGCCCTCTAGTGTCTAGACTCCAAATAGGTTTGTCCAGTTCATCTGAATATGCAGGGCATGGTATGTTATTTATGATATGTAGAGCTAAATCATCTGGTAACAGTTCCCTAAGCTTTTCCACATCCCACTGTCCTTCAATCATCACTTCATTCACATTTTGAATTGATTCATCAACTATGAATTCTGAAGGTGTCAGAAAATAAAGTGCTCCTAATCCTGTCCAATTGTCAAACCAGAAAAGAGAAGATCCCATCTGAATTTTCCAGTAAATTTGATGCTCCACAATATCTCTGCATTCCAACATCTTCCTCCACACATGAGAGCTATATCTCCAAGGAACAATAATTGCATTCATCTTTTTGCAGTATTTTTGACACATGAAGGAACTCCACAATGATGGTTTGGTCCTAAAATTCCACCATAACCTGCAGAATAGGGCCTTGGACATATCATGCAATGATCTAAATCCTACCCCTCCTTCCTCTTTAGGTAGGCAAAGATTGTCCCAAGAAGCCCAGTGTCTAGCCTTGCCCTCCATAGAACTGCTCCAAAAGAACCTAGCAAATATCTTGTGTAACCTGTTGATCACATAAGCAGGTGGATTCACTGCAGATAGGAGATGAATAGGCATGCTTTGCAGCACACTATTAATCAGTACTGCCCTTCCACCTACTGATAATAGCTTCCCTTTCCAAGTCTGCAACTTATCCTTTACCTTAGTAATTAAATCCTCATAATAATCCATCCTTCTCCTTGAATAAAAGATAGGACAACCAAGATAAGTGAATGGAAATTCCTGTCTCCCTATCCCAGTAATTCCCTCAATCTTGTTCACCACCTCTTCACTTGTAGAATGATGTACATAAACAGCAGAGACTTGTTGATCAACTGACCTGAAGCTGCTTCATATGAATTCAAGACATCCATGATCAACCTTAAGGAAGTGGCATCTGATGATGAGAATATAATTGTGTCATCAGCATAAGCAAGATGGTTTATTTTAGGACTCCATTTGGGCATACCAAAGCCACAAAAATACAGATTTCTATGTAAAGCATTAAGACTCCTTGACATTGCCTCTGCAGCCAATATGAACAAAGTAGGTGATAATGGATCACCTTGCTTCACTCCTCTAGAAGACTTGAAAAAGCCATGTGGCTGCCCATTAACAAGAATTGAGTACCAGTTATTAGATACAATACCAAAGATCATGCCAATAAATCTCTCAGAGAAGCCCATCTTCCTTAACACTTTTGTGAGAAAAAGCCAAGAAAGTCTGTCATATGCCTTCATCATGTCCAGCTTTAGAACAACATTTGGACCTGCTTTAGTTCTCAACCTAATGTCAGTAATTATCTCCTGAGTAAGCAGTACAATCTCAATAATACTTCTTCCTTTAACAAATCCAGCCTACTCATCTGAGATCATAGTAGGAAGAATATTAACTAGCCTCTCATGTATGACTCTCGAGATAATTTTGTTAGAGAAATTGCTTAGGCTGATTGGCCTCAAATCAGAAAAGGTCTGCAATTTCTTCTTTTTTGGTAACAGAACTAAATTTGTGTGAGTCACAAATTTAGGGAGTTCTTGCCCACTAAAAAATGACCTCACCATCTCCAATATATCTTCACCAATGATCTCCCAGCAAGCATGGAAAAGATTCCCATTGAATACATCAGCACCACATGCACTATCCCCATTCAATCCAAGAACTGCTTTCTTGACTTCATCTAATGTTGGTTGTCTAGTTAGTTGGCAGTTTTGCTCCTCACATATCATTATAGGCACATGATCAAAAATTCTAAAGTCTGTAGGAACACTGTCCTCATGAAACTATTGTTGAAAAAAATGCATAGCCTTTTCTGCTATCTTTTCTTCATCCTCTATCCATACACCATGTCTATCTTGTATTCTCTTGAGCTGCAACCTTTTTCTTTTGCCTTTCACATGAGCATGAAACAATTTTGAATTTATGTCACCATCCTTAAACCAGTTCAAGCTTGCCTTTTGTTTCCAGAATTCTTCTTCTAGAGCCAATACTCTAATCAGATCAGCTTTCACCCTATGAAGTCTTTCACGATTTTGAATGGTAGGATTCAGCTCAAATTGAGTTTCATGCACCTTAACTACTTCCTCCAAACTAGCAATCTGCTTAAATATGTCTCCAAAAGTAGCTTTACTCCAAGTAGATAAGGCTTGCTTCAGGTTTTTCATCTTATAGTTGAACAAGATGAATGGACTCGCATGGAAATCAGCTTGCCAATTTTCTTTTACCACATCAAGAAATGCCTCATGTTTTATCCAGAAATTTAAGAATCTAAAGGCTTTCTTGATTGGTCTACTGTTAAGATTGCAAGAAAGCTGTAAGGGACAATGGTCTGACCCAATCTTTGGTAGATGCTCAATCTCCAGACCTGGCCATAATTCTTGTAGTTCCATATTTCCCAAACATCTATCCAGTCGTTTAAATATGCAGTCTTCCTCAGCTCTCCCATTCCACCAGGTGAAAATACTGCCTTTGAAGCCAAGATCAAAGAGGTTACATGTAGTTATACAATGTCTAAAATCATCTATCTCATTTATATGAACTGGCAATCCACCAAATTTCTCCTCTTCATCCCATATCACATTAAAATCACCACCAACTAGCCATGGTAGGGACATATCACTAGCCAATGAATACAATGTATCCCACAGTTCAATTCTTTCGATTGCATTACATTTAGCATACACCATGGTAATTATGAACTCCTTCTTACTGTCAGTATCAAGCATCTTCAAGGTGATCTGCTGCTCCATGTTAAATAAGATGTCAAAGTCATACTTTTGGTCTATAAAGAGCCATATTTTATTTGAGACATTTACCACCACTTGTTCAAAACCAAGCCTCCTTCTGTATTGGTCAACAGTCCTAATCTGCTGCTTTGGTTCCATTAGGGCAATAAAATCAAATTGAAATTGTCTATCCATTGTAATAACTCTTTCAAAAGCTTGCATTGTATTTACTGATCTAATATTCCAAATAAGAGCATTCATCATCAATTAATGGATTTAGATAAAGTTCTCCTTGTTTGGACACCTGGAACTTGTACTCCAGTGGTCTCCTTGGCTTGCTTTTTCCTCCCTCTACCTGCTGATTTCCCAATTTCCACCTGCCTAGGAGATATATCTCCTTGTCTAGCTACATTGAGGAAGTTCTGAGTAGTAGATTCAGCATCCATATCTTTCCCTTTTATTCTTTGTGTCTGATCCTCTTCTTCATATTTATCCTGCTTGATCAACTGATTCTTACTAGGTTTGGCTACCAGACTCTTATCAGAATTCTTCATCAACACTATCTCCTTTGTATTTGCTGGAGTAGGATCAATAACTGTTGTTTGAAGCTGAGGATCAGCAACCCCATCCACTGCAGACTCACCTATATTTTGTTGCATATCCAAAGCTCCTTTTTTCTGAACCTGTTCCACTTGTTGCTGATGTATTTCTCCCCTTTTATCTCCTGGATCTCCTGGATCATCTAAATCCCCTGCTTCACTTGTTTGAACAATAGGTACCTGTGCCTCAGTAGGAGTATTTTCATTGTTATGATTAGGAGGTGGTACTGTGTTATTATTGTTCTGTTCAATCTGTAAAGGTTGCTCAGCTGCAATATTAACATTGACACCTTCTTCTGCACTTTGCACTTCAAGTCTAGTACTCTTACCATAGACACTTTGTTCTTCCACATCTGGATCCTTGTCTTGAACTTCTTTCACATCTTCATGCCCTTCTAAATATTCTCCTTCATCAGATTCCTCCTCATGTTGTTGATCCCATAACCTACCTCCCACAAATGTCACCTTATCCTTAAGATTCTCCTGCTCAGGAATCATATTTGTATCTAGTGATTGAGAGGGGAGTTCCTGACAGTATTGATTAGTTGTGACATTTAGAACTGGGAAGGTTCTATTCACCCATTGAGCAGTAGATTATTTGCCTTTATTTGTACCTTCCTTTGCTAAAATTCTGTTCTCACCAATATTTTCCACATTGCCTCTCTTTGATGAAGCCACTCCAGTAGATTTAAGAGTAAAAACTGAAGCATTTGGATTCAACTCTTTCTGCTTTGGAGTGTCCTGCACAACAACTTCTTCCACAAGGATCACTTGGTTTTCATTATCACCCTCATCTTCTACTTCCAAAGCTGCAAACTTGTTTGTAGTTTGAATTTGTTGGCCTACATCAACAGGAACAATTTGTCTTATCTCATTGTCATTGTTTTGTTGATTAACAGCTACTACTTCTTGCCCTGATGTTTCATTATGATTAGCACTATTCCCAGCTGCATGTACATGCTGCCTTTCACCTTGGTTGACTGGAACAATTTCTTTTCCTGTGATCACTTGGTTTCCTGCCTTCCTCACACGATTATCCTTTTCTTCTTTCCATTGTTCCCCATTTGAGTTTACATTACCTACAACTCTCCCACTCGACAAGATCATCAAAGGTTGATTATGCTGCACCTTAGTCTGCTCCTTGCTATTTTCTACCTTATGCTTACCTTGATCATATGGAGATAACTCAGGATGTATTCTCCAACATTCAAAATCATCATGTCCTTGTAACCTACACTCTTTGCAGTACTTGGGCAACATGTCATATTTTATATTAACCCACTCAGTTCTTACATTCCCAGTAGCTTCATTGACAATATCCATTCTTACCTTTTTTGTATGATCTGCTAGCAAATCGACCAAGACTTTGACCCTAACACAACTAGGTCTAGTCTTATTGATGGTAGCCATATCCAAGTGCAAAGGCTTTCCCACAGCTGAGGCAAGAGAAAAAAGATACTCTTTCACAAAATATGTAGGTAACAATCCTGGGAAAGAAATCCAGGCCATCGCCATTGGAGTCTCCTCTCATGCTTTAAAATTCACATCATATATTAAAGGTCTGATTTGATATTCATGGCTATTCTTGTCCTTAACATATTGAGCACTTTTCGACGTAAAATCTACAAAATCCTACCATAAGGTCATGCGTATAAGGACATGTCTCAAGTAGCCAATGTTACACTCTCCCTTTATACCACATTGCAAAGGGACAATGCGGCGTATTTCGTTTAAGTCTGGCCATCCATACGCAAATTTACCAACAACAGCATATTGAAGGCCTTCAATCACATTCATACGATCAACTTCAGCTTCAGTAAACATCACCATTAGTTGTCCATTAACAAACGTTGTTCGACGTAAAGGAATTGGATCAACAGTAGAGTCACGTTCCTGCATGGCACTGTTTATCGTCGATGGTTTGAGGATTTTAGTGTAATCTAAGGGCTGGGTAGTGTTGTTAGCGGTGGTGGGGGGCTGGGCGATGGTGGGGGGAGGCTGACCAGCCGGAGTAACAGGCTGACCGCCGGCCAAATTGGCCATGACAGCCGGAAAATCGACTTTCTCTCTCTAGGAAGTAAAAATTCGCCAGAGCCTCTCTCTCTAGGGTTAGAGAAGTTAGGTTTTTATGAGAAAAGAAAATACTTCAAAAGAAAAGAAAAGATATTTTCGAATCTTGAATTTTCTTGGATCTAAAAGAAAAACTTTCTAAAGATTGAAGTAAAGGAAAATATTTTTGAATTTTTATTAAAATTGTGGGCCGGAACCGATAAGGTTTGCCTACGTATCTCACATTCGGTGAGAATCAGACCCGCGCAGTTCGTCCAATTTCGATAAACAGGAAAATATGATTTATTTTGAAATGACTTTCCTTTTTTTCTTTTTTTTTTCAAAATTTTGGCAGAGTTTCGGGGTATTTTGAATACCGGCATTTTCAGAAACGGGTGATTCTCTCTCTCTTACCTCAAACTTGATTTTCCTTGATTTTTCTTCCCTATTCTAGAAGTCGGTCAACATGCAAGCCGAAGTAAATAAATGTACAAGTAGCACATAAAATGCGTCAGGATGGTCTTTTTATTTCGGGTACACCTATCCTAGACGGACCCAACCCCTGTGTTGAGTCCCCAAAGTCAAATGCACGTGATGCAAACAAGCATTCCTACTAGGGATCCGACATGAGGCTATGTTATTCTAGGTTTAAAACCTTGGTGTATTGTTCTAGACCTGGCTTACCCGAGCGGACAACTCGCGGCGAGGGGGGTAGCGTACCGGGAATACAGAAGCTTCACCCGTTTTGCAACTTATCAGAACCTCATTCTAGTATTGGGATATGACTCTAATAGAAAAGAAGCCACACGAAGTGCAGGCTTCGCAGATGATTTAGAAGACTCAGAGAGAAGAGGGTTTCGTAACAGTTTATATACAGTTCAAGCAATATTAAAGCGGTCAAAAGCATCATTTAGCACATTAGGCTCAAACACGTAAAAAAAATCAGATAATAAACAAAAGCCAACTATAACAGTTATTCTAAGCTCAAATTCTAAACCCTGAACTAGAGATTCTGGGTTCGGTCCCCAACAGAGTCGCCAAACTGTCACACTTTCTTTTTCCCGCAAGGATAGGGAGTTTTTCCAATTTAAGTGAGAATAATCAAAATGGGATTATTCATATTCAAATTCAGAATCGCCACTTGGGATAATTTATGGTGTCCCAAGTCACCTGTTTAAAATTCCGAATCGAGGAAGTTTGACTCTGTTTTACAGTCCGCGAAGCACAGAAATTCGGATAAGGAATTATGTTAACCCGGGAGAAGGTGCTAGGCTTTTCCGGGTTCTGTGGTTTTAGCACCGTCGCTCAACTATTAATAATTGGTCTAATTATATGATTTATTACATATTGAAAACC